CTACAGGATCACTGCTTCGGGGGGACTGCAGCCACCATTCTACCAGACTGCTACCACCACCCTGATTAACAGGGTGTCAGGTTGTATCCTGACTCTGTTAGTTTAACCCAGTGCTATCTGCCTTTATAATTTTTTTTTCCTTATTAAATCATTATTCTGACTTGGTGTCTCCCACTAGTTTGTTTTCAAACTAGCACACGGTTTTAGATATAACCACCATCATTTCTGAAATACTGCAGCTCACTGTCTTGCCAAACCATGACTATGTCAAAAGCCTGTACCATTCCTGTCATGTCTCTTCCAATAACAGCAATTCTGTCTGCATCATTCCATTGATTTTAAGCTTTTCTTAAATTGCTTTTATGAAACATGCTATACAAAAGACTGAGTTGAGTCCTCCAAGACTATTTAAGATCTTGTACATACTGACATCCTCACATGCCACGTATATGAGCACTGAAGACATGCCTTTTGAGTCATGCTGTATAAACCAGTACCACTCTTGTAGGATCAGGGGCAGCCTTTTCACCGCCTGGGCCACCTGACTTGTTTGGAGCTCTAGAGGCTGGGGGAAACATATGTATCTTAGGACCACTATATGTGACTGGAGACAAAAAGCCCCTTTAACATAAGAAACATCCTATTTAATCAGGACAGTTGTCCATCTGGACCATGCAAATTCAGCTGTCAGTATATGAACAATGAAAGAAAAAACAATAAAGAATACTTATTTTAATGAAAATGGAACTTCTGTTTAAAAACAATGGCTAGAAATATGCAATGTTTTAAATTTCACAAAATCAAGACATACTGTAAAATAAAGTGTTTGCAGAAAATAAAAAAGATTAATACATGGTAAGCAATGAAAGAATGGAGAGAATTTTAGTTTTAAGGATACAGTGGGGTTTTTTTACCTAAACATTTAATGAATGTCTATTTTAAGGATCCAGGAAAGTAATTAAGCATGTAGATAAACGTTTAACATGTCTAGTTCTGTAATACAAGATGTTATCAATTTACTATCATCTCTGTTATTGTCACTGCTCTCAAGAGAGATTTGCAAAGGCCTTAAGAGCCATCACCTCCATAGTCAGTACAATACGTCCATTTTAGAGTTTCTGACTCTAACTGTTCATCGGATGATAACTTCTCTGTTCTAAAGTTTTGAAGATAAAATCCTCAATAATATAACTAACAAGAATAAATATGATGTGAAAAAAAGCTTGTAGGAAAAAATGACATCAATATAATTAGGAAAACATGTAAAAGGAAAGAACACAAAAACTATACCTGTAATGGAGAAAAAGTTAGATGAGCTGTAGATTTAGAAAACATACTATCAAAATGCATCTGATGTAACTAGTGACATGAAGTGGAGGAAAACAGTAATGCATAAGTCATAGAATGGTACTGGATGAAGCAATAGGGTTTAGGAGAGCTATGTGAATAAATTACTGAGAAAAAAAAAAAAAAAAAAAAAAAAGAAGAGAGAGAGAGAGACTAAAAGGATGTCCCAAACAAATTATGCTTAAGTTCTTTGCTGTCTGGGTTTTATAAGCTGAAGTGCTGATATTGACCAATGAGGAGACAATGATGCATTTTGTAATAACATTAATACAAGCTTAAAATAGAGGCTTCTATACATGTGCTACATTCACATACATCACAGTATTTCTAATGCTTCAACTCCTTGATATCTGGAATTGAGATTTCTCAATGTTCAGAACAGAAACTGGCAAAAATCCCAAGAAAATGGTGGGGTTTTTTAATTATTCATGCCTTATTCATGTCTGACCAACTATCAAAACCAGCTATAAATAAAGTGCTGAGTTCAACATGGTTCAGTGTCACATTTTAACAACCATAGAGAGAAATACTTGTTAGATCACAAGAACTGGAAACAAGAAGCATGTGTTTTATTTCCTTCTCCACAGCTGCTTTAGGACATGATTATGGTTACACCAAACTGATGTGAGACTGTGGCTAATCGTTCCTCCCATCTTTTGTCCCAGCACATTTCTGTCTTCTTCATTGTGCTTAAACCAACGCTGTAGGGAGACAAGGACTGTGCTATGGCTGACTGTGCAATTAGTCAATGAATATCAATGCTGGCAGAAGAAAAAAAAAGAGTGACTGGGAAGTGGTATACTCTGTCTGAAATCAGCAAGAGCCAATTGTGAAATTACACCCTAGCTGTAGGGTGTTAGGCAAATCCCTTTACACATAAATGAAATCAGAAAATAAAATATTAGGCTAGATGGGATTAGGGGTAGGTCACTGGTGTATCAATAATTGTGGATTTAACATGATAGATGTGCTAACCAGCATTCTTTCAGGCTCAATACAGGAGTTCTTGAGCTTCTTTGTGGAAAAAAATTAAGTGGAAGCAACAGAAACTACATCCAAGGCAATAAACTGCAAGTCTTAATGGAATAAAGTTATTTGGTCAGATGGTCATTCCTCAAGACTGACTGCAAATGCAGAACCTTTAAGAGGATTTCTAAATTGAGTTATATGTGCATTAAATTAAGAAGAAAGCCTTTGGAAGAGGAAAACATCCCACACATGGCTCTGAGAGGGAGCAGAGTGTCGGCACAAGCTGGAAAGGCAGACTGGATTTCAAAGCAGGAAGATGCCTTCTGATGTTTGATCCTACTGTTTCCAGGAAGGCAAAATTGTTGTGTAGATTCCTCATAAATAAGTAAAATATCTTAAAAAGTCCCACATCTGAATAGCCAATTTCTCCCCTAAATAGAAACAATTCATTGATTTAAAAATGATCTTATCATTAGATCTTTAAATCTACAGATGCAGTTGAGCTTTCAAGATGTTTTGAAAAAAATAAATGACCGAAATTATTATTTCACAGAAGTGAAAGTGAATTTTAAAAGATTATTTCAGTTGATGAAAAAAGTAATTTCAAAAGCTTTAAAGACACAACAGACAATGAATCCTGACTTCCGTATGCCTACTGTTATTAAGGGTGAAGTAAACTTAATAAACAAATCACAGATGAAGTCTATTAAGTATCTGGGTACACCAGAGAAAATTATCACACTGTGGGGTCATACATTCAAGAATACGTTGGCAAAAGGCTGATACCTTAACATCTGCTGTATATATAGCAATTTAATAGGAATTCAGTTTTTATATTTAGGTATTTGGAGTCCAAATGATTGGCTTTGTCATGCAGAGTATTAATATTGACTGCTTAAGCCCTCCAGACATTGCCAGTCAGCAAGCTTGCTGATGTGCTAAGCAATTAGCTTTAAAAGCAATACTCACTGTGAAGACTTTCTCAGGCTGACCACGAGCTCGCATGTTTGTGTCATGAATTTGCTTGAGTATCATCCAAGCTTCATCATGCTTCCCAACCTGAACATTTGATCAGAACATTTAAAAAAAACCATACATACGTATTATATATTCACTATAGTCACTGAGCAATCAATACCTGTTATATAGATGTCATGATGTAAACACAGAAATAATTTTGACTTGAATCTAAAAACCATTTGGAAAGTTATACCTCCAGCAAGAACCGTGGGCTTTCTGGCATGAAGGTGAGGGCTACCACAGAAGAGACACAGGGCAGTGCGCAGACGATCACAAACACTCGCCAGCTGTGGAACTGGTAGGCAGAGCCCATGCTGAAACTCCATCCTACGAAAGCAGAAATTCACAAAATGTACAAAAATAAGGAGTGCCACATGTGGGACTCTGCAGCTTCTTGGAGATGCAAAAATGATACCTGTATTTATATAAAGTCTGATCGTTCTTTTTTATTTCCACAAATATCGATGATTTCACAAATAATCTTACACCATGAATTTCAGCCTCTTGAATGTGACTAGTCATGCTGAAAACTGGCCATATTATGCAGGCTGGGAAATTTCCTTACTCAGGGATGAAGAAACCTCTTTCAAGTTTCTTAGCAATATCTTCATGAAGGTAGTTATGTGAACCAAACACAGACACCATCACCATACATAGTAATACATATACAAAGTAGTAGTTTTATATGAATACGCGAAGAAGGGAAAATTAAAAATCTACACTCAGATGATATATTTTATGGAATTTTATAAGCCTTCCTTATTGACCTTTTCTACAAAGAGTTAATTTAAGTACTCTTAATAAGAGTTTCCTAATTTAATACAGTTCAACACATAAGAATTTACAACGCCTAACTTGTGTTTCTATCTTGTTCCAGTGCACTATACAACTCCTTAAATTCTGTTAAAAGTAAATGGACATTCATCCACCCTGTGACATAACTAGATGTATAGGAATAAGTAGTCAGTATTTAAACTTCTGTGTGAGATGAGCAACCTTAACACTGAACTAGAGAGAGAACTTCTGACTATATAAAGAGATTAAGAAAAAAGAACAACAGGAGAACAACTCTCCTTATCTGAAAAATTGATCTTGAGATACATCTGAGTGCTGACTAATAACATGCTGTAGAAGCCATTGCTAAAGTATACTGAGAAGAACACAAAAGGAAATACTGGAAAACCTGAATGTGAAACTGCAAGGCTGGTAATTCAGCTTTTTAATAAAATACGTGATTGTTTGGTCTGTTATGATGGACTGTTGAAATGCTAGAATTGTAGGAAACCTAAGAATTTCTCTTAAGAAAAAGAAAAATATTATTTGGGTAACAACCTGGCCTTTTAGTCTGGCTTCAACACAGCAGAAATTTCCAAGTAAAATTTTCAAGGATATCTTATTAAAAGATGAGTGGAATATAAGAATAATGGTACAGGACAGAAGTTATTGGAAGAAAACAGAATCCTGGCTAATGAAGGAGCTGGCGCCAGATTAATCTCATATATTTCTTTGCTAACTGATTTTTCTAGACAAAAGATATGGTTAATTAAATCTGTCTGGATGTTGGTAAACAACTGGTGCAACATAGTACCAATGATCTATTAAATATTTCTTGAAAGGAGGTATTTATCTGTGAAATGTGTTCTGTATTTTGGAATTTAAAGATCTCATGTTATGGATTATAAATACATTTTTTTAAAAAAACCCCAACATTTTCATATTAAAGTACTTACATGTTACCATATGGAAAATACAGTCAGACCATGATTTATTTTTGCTATCAACAGCTCAGTGAAATATTTTGATTTGCAGACTTGGGAACATGGCTTTTCCACTCTCCTACAAAGTTTCCATGTTTCAGAAATTATATCAGTTTGCTCTACAGCCTTATTTAATCCTGTCATCTTTAACCCAGAAAGACAGAGGTAAAATCAATGACAGTGCTGGCAATAATCTTGGAATGCCATGTTACTTTTTTTTAAGTAAGGTTCGAGATAAACATATGTTTCCCCTCCAAAGTTCCCTCCAACTCAGAGAGGCTGTCTACAGTTTAATGTTAAATTTATCCCAAAATAGAACTTGGAATGAAAATTTAAGATTAAAAAATACAAACTAAAAAGGATGTACAAGTATATTAAAATTTACTTTCTACAGATTTCTGGAAAATGTCAACTGTTGATCTTATAGAATTTCAAATTTTAAATAATAAGGGCATATTTATATCTAAATTGGGATGGGAAGGAAAAGAAGGAAAGGTTTAGAGTGAGTTAATGAGGCAATTAGAAACCACACCTGTGTTTTGGGTATTGTGTACACATTATATAGTAATCATTAGGATCATATTCTTCATTATATATTTTAAATTATAGCATAAAATCACCTGATATAGAACTCACAAAATTATTTCCTGTCAGTTAAGTTAATTTGAAGTCAGAGCAGTGATCTGATCAGACTCACTGGGCAGCCGTGCAATTGGTAGTGCCACAGGGAAGGTGGCACAGGACATGGGTTTTCAGTTTCAGAACATCATGGTCAAGGTACTGGCTCTTGTTGTCATTAAAAACTGCCCCGGTTTATATTTAGACAATTTACTTTTCACTGCTCTGGTTTATGTTTTATGAGACTGAGCTGCACAAGGGGCACTCCTGTGGTAAATGAAATCAACCTGGCTTTATACTTATAAAACAACAGCAAAACCTTGTGCTCTGTAACCAGTACTGGAAAACACTGGTGATAATTTATTTTAAGGTGTCATTTTTTAATGTAAGTGAACCATACCACACTTAATTAAAAGCAATGAGTGCACCATTCATCAGTTAAAAGCAATGAGTTCAACATTCGTCTTGTCATCCTGACAGAGTACAAAAGACCTATTTTACTCCTCAAAATATCTGAGAGGCATGTCAAGCGAAATGTTAATTATGGAATTTTTTTTGCTCTTCTTCTATCTTTTCCTCTACGTATTGTATTAGCTGCTGCAATTTATGCTGTGATTTAACATTTCTGCTGAATTAATGATAATAGTGAATGTCAGAATTATAAGAAGCAATTGGTAGGAAAAAAGCTAGCTGCAACACAGCTTTCTTGAGACTGCTCTCCTGTCTATTCCAGTACCAGCACTAGATCGGCAAAACAAATGGATGTATTTTGAATGCAGAGCAATCTTAGATTTATTCCTATGTTTAACACATCCAATTTTCCTAGGTCATGAGTTAATCTGGAAAATGGAGCCATTAGAGTATCCCTGAATTTAGCTCACAAAGTGGCTTTCATTCCCATTGTATGTTAAGTCTTGAAACCAAATGGAAGTGTGTTCTGGGCTGTAACTCAATTTGCTTCTCTTCCCTGATTTATGACGCAATAGCAAAGACAGAGCAGCTCCACATGGTTGTGTTGAGAGCACTGCACAACAACCTAGAGCTGAATTTCACCCTTGCTCCCTGGCTATGCTGTATTTGAGAGTCATTAATCTTGAAAATGGTGGCAGGTCCCAATGTTTTCTGATTTGCAAAACACTCAGCACAAATGCATCTTGGGAATGATGTGCTGTAGAGCAACATAACTGAATGACTGAATGTGAAGCTGCCGCAGCAACCTTTGTGCTCAGTACCATCCTCCCACTTTACCGACTGCTGGAAAAGGCCAAGTGAATCACAGATATGGCAATTACTGATTACAGAAACAGCGGCACACAGCATAGCAAAACCAAAATTTACAAGATACTAATCTATATCTAATCACCAATTTGTATGTTTAATTGTGTCAACAAAATCTTGACTCCCAACAGAGCATTTTATCTGCTCCATAATATTAATAAATTAAAAGGATATTATAAATGAATTCTTGCTCCAAATGGGAGAATAGAGCATTTCTGTCATAGATTTTTCTGAATAAATATAGAGGCAAACCTGTTCAGATTATGATGAATTTTATAAATGTATATTACCCAACAAACATTGTATATCTTCAAGGACAAAGATCATCGTTTACAGCGGCTAGGATACTAGAGGGGATGATTTGCTTAACTTTCCAAAATGAGGGCTGAAACGGCACATGATAGCTTTCTAAAAATCAGTAAGTGTTACACTAAAGAGCAATGTGGGCAATGAAAAACATGAGTGCTTACAGGTGCTGTATAAATATTGGCTGACAAAGGTAAGGTTCTTAAATACCAGAGGAATAAAGTTGTGAAATACCTTTCTAAGGCACTAATATGGACAAAGAAAGCCTAACCAAATACAGGGATTTTATGGCATGGTTAGCTAAAGACTGACCATTCTTGAGAACAATTTTTGTTACTCAGTAGGAATCAGTGTCATAAACTGTCAAAAGCTAAGTTTGCCTAAAATTCTGTATATTGGTAGATCAAATGAGGGAATAGATGCAAGAAAAATCCTAAAATTAGGGGTGAGGAGAAAGATAGACAAAGAATTTATAGGAATTCATAGACTCGACAGATTCTTCTACAGAATCCTCTCTATGATATCATATTTTTTCACATTTCACTTTACCACACAATCTTTGGTCAAAACTCAGCTTCCTAACCTCAATTTTTACTGTCTGAAATTTAAAAAATGTCCATACCTAAGATATGTGATTGTTTTAAATTACCATGTGGTGGCACTACTACCACACTTAATGCAAATAAATTTAAAACATTTCTGCAGAAAGACTACTACTATTAAATGCTGTTTTTTTGTTGAGTAATTCCCAAATCTAAACTAAATCATAATTATAAGGAGTACTGGAAGTATTTTACATTATTAGTATTGCACTTAATGTCCTAGCATTACCAAGTTTGACCGTGAGTGACATCTAGCATTTGAGCTTACATATTTAGTGGTACCCATCTAGAATAATGGTAAAATATCACTGAAACAGGAAAAAAAAAAAAAAGTAGTTCAGGTAAGTTATATAGCTAAGGAAGCTCACTTAGGCATGTTTATAATACTGAGTGAAATACATAGTTTCTAACAAATGCAGAAATAATGTTTTCAGAATTATTCTGTAATTGTATTGATGTGAAATTACAGTAACACAAAGTCGAATGTTTGTCTTTCCTGTGATTATATTATTAATATCACATGGGAAAGGCAGTGATATTTTTAGCCTAGGCAGATAGATATTCTGCAAACCCACTGGCTCAGCAGGTCAGCTGCTGGTAATTTCAGCAGAAGGAATCTGCAAATAAAATAGCTGAAGTGTGTCAGGCCATGATGGAGGTACCTTAATATAGGTGCCTGTAGAAGACTAACACTCACCAGCATGTGCCTAGCTCTCTAGCTAAAGCTATTAGTCCCTGAGAATCATCAGGATCAAAGAAGAAAGTA